GATTGGCCGTGACCTTTCATCAACATTTAAGTACTTGTAATGTGTATACGACACATATAATAATTCTGTCTTAATGTATATGCTTTCAAAAAATCAGAAATTCAATACACTATAGACGTACAATAAATAAATAAACGATATCGTTGGACGCGTGTGTATACAATATACCTATATAGGGTGTAACAGATAGAACTGGCTTTTGGAATAACTTTTGTTCTAATCAATGGTTTAAATTTTTTTTTAATTTATATGATTTAAAGTTACACATATATTGTACAAAAAATTATTTTTATTTTTTAACACTGAAAATAAAAAATTTTAAATTTGATTTAAGTTTTTATGGATACTTATATTCAATACAGCCAATTTATGAATCTGATTATAAGAAATATGTTGATAGTAAAAACATTTATCTAAGTCTAGTAGTTTATTTTTTAGAATTTTTTAAAATATCAATATTTTTTTGGTAAATGAATTTGGAACGTAATAACTTTTTTAAAATATTTTTTTTTCGGGAATTTGTGCTGACATGAGTATATTTCTTAAATTATTCACTAATCGTATAATTTTAACAATTTTTGTCATACTTTTAAGTAGCATAATTTTTTTTGTTCGTCGGGTCTTTCTGTGACACCTTGTAGGTATAGTTGTATATAGGACGCAGGTAAGTACAGCTATTATATTATAGCTAGTACTTATTATATAATATTTGTATATATTATTAGGCTTCATTTTTTCTCGTTGACGTATTCGTTTCGATTTATTTGCAGGAAGACTACCTATATTATTATTATATAATAATATTGCAACTGAATACATAGGGTAATCAAAGGATCAAAAAACATTCGAGCAAAGGACATATATTATTATAATATTGTTCTACATAGATATCTGTCGCGCGCTTATTTCTCCGATTTGCCTTTTCGCGGTCGGTCGGTGGTTTCGGCCATATTATTAGAATATCTCCTCCTCTATACACGCTCGCGAGATAAAAAGAAACGGTCGATCCGGTCTCGCGGGATGGCTCGGGACGACGAAATGAGGTTGCGAAAGTCATCCGGCCTCGAACAAATGCGCATACATAACGGCGGCGGCTTCACAATAACACTTTTCCGGCGGTGCCGCTGCTGGTTATCTCCGCAGAAATGATGCCCTCGTGCTCTAATGGAGAATAATACTTCTGTATCGCGATCGAGGCAGTTCTTACGGGGTCGTCGGTTGGTGTACACTCCAAATAAGAGAATGTTCTCATTTTATTTAAATCCGACATTTTCGTGTAGTATAGGGCGGATCGCGTCGATAACGCGTTCGATGTGAAAAAATAAAAACATTGTTTCGACGACGACCGAAGTTATTATAATAAAAATAAAAACGAGATATTATTTTTAATTGACTTTGTTCGCTGGCCTCGGTTCATTAATGCATTTTATTTTTTGTTTTATTTTTTATGACCCGACTGTACATAATATTATATTTCACACTATTGTTTGAAAACATTATCTTCAAATAACCCCGTGAAATCCTCGTTATAAACACACAATGTCAGAATCGAGAAGACAAAAATGAAAATAAGAAAATCTTACAAGATAATAATATAATATATTATATTCGGTCAAATAATTTCGCTTTTGTTGTTCACGTTAAAGAGAAGGTACAAAGACTTAGGACTACATTCTTAGAATTCGTAGCCTCGAGCAAATCGTCTCCAAAGGGTCTGTATAAGGGACCCGTTTGTACTGCATTTTCAACAACAGACAACATAATTAATTTTCAAATAATAGCTATTGAAATTTGAATGGCTTTAAAAACAAAAATATTAGTCGTTCAGATTTTCATTGCTACCCCCGACAAAATAAACCCCATGACGTGTAAACATTTGAGTTTATTTTATGAGCTTTTCTCGTAAAATTAAATCATAGGACAAAAATATCTAATAACGCATATTATATACCTATACAATATTCTACACTTCTACTTTTTCGTTATTCCTCCCGAACACCTCACCACCACCATACGAAACGAGCTCGATGAAATATCTATAAATCATAGAAAATTTAATTATACGTTCTAGTGTGCTTTGTGAATATACCTTCTCTATGTAATTAAATACATAATATATTATATATTAGCTGTTGATAAGAGACGCTATCAAAACACTATAATATTATATAATAATATCGTATAATATACAAGTATATGTATTATATTATAGTGTTGTGTGTCATAGAATGGGCTTAACGAGAGATAAATAGAAGAGAAGGGTAATGTATTGTATACGTATATATTACGGCCCGAGCAGGAATATTATTAATTGGCCAACGAGGTATACGGACAATAATGAAGATTGATGTGGGAGTGACGTTACACGATGAAACAATAATATAACTATGGTATAGCGTCGACCGGAGATTTTTAAGGTGGTAACTGATGGACGCGCGTTGTACCTATACATAGTGGAACGGCACAGGAGGAAGCAGAGGACGTGGAAATGCTCGGGAAATGGGTTTAATGAATTACGACTTTAATTACACGGACAATAATGCCCTAGCTATACCACCCCTGGAGTCGGAGACTTGAATAGTTTTGAAATAACTCGATCCTGCCGTGCACGCGAGTACATAATATATACATTATAATACGATGATGAATAACCCAGATAGCAGATTTTCTTGATAAGCCTCTTAATGCTCTTGACTTGACTACGGGATCATACGAAATAATAATACATAAGAAGGATAATGTATAGGAAAGGGTTAATGTTTTCATATACTTCGTTCGTTCGCAAACACAGTCAACGGGGCAAAGAGTTCCGTTTATATTTTAATAGATAAAATACGCAATAAATATGGTACGCGAAAACATAATAATTGTAATATAGCTTTGTTAAAACAATCAAAATACGCTGTTGTGAGGGGAAAATACACCGATACTGAGATTAATATTTAATTCAATAATAATACGTCCATTAGTGATTTGAATTGAGCTTTTAAAATTTTCAAAATAACATTTTACCACCGTGAATACTTAATGAGAAAAATCATATTTAATATTATCCCCAATTACAACTCAAATCCTAAATACCTATTAGGAAAATGTTTTTTTTTTTTAATTCAATCAAATTAATCTTTATCATAATATTGCATTTAACATAATTTATACCATGTGAACAAATTATGTACATATGCGTGAGTGATACACGAAAAGCTTTTAATAATTTTATGGTGAAAAAATGGCATTAATTCTGTAATATTTATATACTTTATCGATTACCAATGTCGATGTACAATACTACAATGATCGAAATAGCATTGCGAATGGGGCTCAGCGAGTCTCACTGGTCGTATTTATTATTATGTATTTATGTATTCCTAATTTATTTATTTATTCAACATAAAAACGGCTCAGGTCCCGGAATTACTGTCATATTATTATTATATTATGTCGTGTGTAACATAAACTGACGACTGCGTCACTGGGGAACGAAAATGAAGTATTAACTTTTACGATCAGGCCGTACAAAAGAAAAAACCGTAAACGGGTTTACGATCCAATAGCGAAATTATATAGAAAACTATTTTTTTTTTTTTTTTTAAACTTACTATTCAGAAAAATGGCTATTATGAAGTGTGTATTTTTCTAGTCGATAAGTCGCGTTTCTCCTCTTATTTCGTCAAACACCTCTGGGCTCATAAAATCGTCTACATTATGACTTACGTGCGCCGAAAAATGTATACATAATATCAATGCGCGTTAAATTTCAAGTTGTTCGGTTATTGTAGCTATTTGGCTTTTGATATTACTTCGATATATATTTTGTCATATGCACACTCACTGTCTCTCTCTCTCTCTCTCACACACACACACACACACACACACACACACACATATTTAGATATTTAGAGACTATACTGTACACATTCAGCGGTGCCGTCGAATAGGCTGTGCAGGTACATGGCAATATGTTTCGCGAGTCGTCAACATTTTATAGTGCCGACCACAAAAAGGTGAACAGAGAAACAAATAGCTAGATTAAATTGTCTTCTCTATAAAAATTTCTATGAGCACTTACACTCGCCTATACCTACTGCGGAATGTTAAAGAATAAAGTAAACGAAATACGCGAGTTCTTCTCGTTGACATAAAAACTTTAAAGTTGATGTTCTCTCCTACTCCGCTCGAAAGACGGGAACAATGAGCGAAATTCTTGAGTAACCGTTCGTCATAATATGCTTATTACGGTTCACTAGAGTGCTAACTAGAAACAACTGCCAAGTCCGTACATACCTATACCTAAGGTAACTTGCCGTATACGTGTGTCATTAAAATAAACCTAACCTAACGTTATACCTTCTCAAGAAGAACACGCAAACTTCATTATCCAAGTACACACACACACACACGTATAAATTATGTGTGTGTTTGTGTAGACAAAGTTTGAGCTTATACCGTATACAGTAATATACACACTTTGCGAGTCCACATGACACGTCTTAGACAAGTAAATGCAAACTCTCTTAACTTTCATGGCGTGTGTATAGCAGTATAATATACCTATACCAGTAACGGAAGAAAAGCTCTAATGGACATTTAAGTGTTGTACAGAAATTCAATGTTAAGCACACATTATTGTATCACTGCAGGTTTATTTCGAGGGTATTTATTAAAAGACGTAGTAGTGTGGTAGCAGTCGTAGGAATAGTTGTAGTATTAGTAGAAGTAGTAGTTGGACATATAAATATATATATATATATATATATATATATATATATAATATATATGTATATAATATCTCCGACGATATTGTTATTATTTATGATTATTTACCGAGTGGTATTATAGTAATGGATTGTAGTAATGGAACCACAACTATAGGCATCCAGCGGCGATCGGGGCGCCGTTATAAAAATGTACGTACCGCCGGCAAGGGGTTGGGAGCTGACTATATGGCAATGATATTTTGGAATTGCTCCCCCAATAAAATAATATATTGTTACACTTACACTTCGATGGCTTTGTTCCAGTTTATTATGTAGCCGGAAAGGGTAAACGTCTCGACGTTGACGAAATGTACATTGCCCCTTTCCGAACCCACGTACAGCCACTTGCTACGGAGTGGGAGGTGTATAACTGTAATTCTAAAAAAAAAAAATAATAACAATAAAATATTACACTGTACCTATCTATTTACATGTTAAGATAACACAATTGAAATCGATTTTAAGTAAATAAAATCACAATCCCACATACATATAGTAAAGCGTTGTGTCCTACATAATAAATATTATGTGGATATAGTATAACTAACTTAGAGCGAATTTAGTTCATGATTTGATATACTGCAGTAATTGCCATTTTGAAGACAAAAAATAAATACATTATTCTTACTGTGACCTATTTAGAAATGGAAATAGTTAACAATAATTGAACGATATATACTGCTTTACTGATATTTACATGGTAATAACGTTTAAAGTTTTAATTTTTGAAAAGTGGTATATATATAGCAACGAAAAACTATAAATTATGTACTAAATCGTCGACGAGTTTCTCTGGATTTCTCATAACTGATTTCGATAAATTAAACTTATGCACGGTGGCTTTTCATTGAGCAATATTGTAAGAACAAACAAAATCTTTAACTTAAATATAGACCCAATAATGTAGGTAAGACGTTTTAACATTAGATAGATTTGACGATTGGCTGGAAAAATATAAGTGGAACGGTATTATTTTATATTAAATAATCATATACCGTATTGTGATTGATTTATAGACAAACAAATAGCAATTATGGGTAATGAAATTGTTTTTTTTTAACTCCAGTGATGTATTCCTTACCTTTCTCGTTGAAATTTTAAGCTGTGGACAACGTCAGCTCTTTTTTGTCTGAAATTCCATAGGTGTAAACTATCGTCAGCGGTTACCGTGATTAACGCTCCTTCGTTCATCAGAAACTCCACCTGAACGACGGCCGCCTCTAATTCGTGTCGAACCTGTGCATCCACTCCAGGCCTTCCAATTCTGTATTATACTCTCATTAAGGAAAACCGTGGTTAAGTATAATAATAGAACAATTATAGTAGTCGTACAATAAAAGCACGACGATAACAATATTGATATATGACATCACGACGATATGTTTAAATAAATCAACGCAATGTATAATATAGTACACGGTGAATTTCATACAAATATGCTAAGAATTAATTTTGAATACCGAACACAACATAATAATAATATTATTACAGTATAATAATAAAAAGTTTGACTAGTCAATATCGTTTCGTCTTCGCGAATCCCATTATGTTATTCAATGTTATAAAACAGTCGAATCGACACAATCTCATGATATACCTACCTACTGGTGCAAATATTTTGAATATTAAACCAGGTGGATGTCGAACGACTGCTCGAACATCTATCCTATTAATCCGTACATCGCCGCCTCCGCGGTTATGTGCATCAACTCCTCGTCAGACGCTTAAAAAATAATTATTATACTCTGTTCGAGTAGAACATTATAATAACCGTGTCAAGTACGACGTAAGCGTCGGCATGTGTTGATAATCGTACAGATATTTAAAATCTATTTTGTATCTAGACAGTAAATCGTCATAAATATTAATCACGAATATAGTAGGACGTATAACTGCACACAGACCTGTACGATTAGTTCACTACCTATTGTGACGAGTGTCGAGCACGATAAGAGGTATATCATATAATATGAATTCGCGCACTCCGAATAAATATGCATTACGATATTATAGTATATAGGTTTACGCGCTCGATTATTCAAAATATAATGCGCACATAATATTTTTGTTTTGTTCTGAAGGTACGATACGCATAGGTAGGTACGTATAATAGTGCAGTACTTACACACACAGAAATAAAGCAGATTGTAAATTCTTCCGGAATTTTTCCATTAAAATATAGTGAGCATCTAGTGACGGCGGAAACGTTTAAATTCAAAACGCCACACTCTCTCTTACACACACACACACACGCATACGCGCGCGCGCGCGCTCTCTCTCTCTCTCTCTCTCTCTCTCTCTCTCTCTCTCACACACACACACACGATATGGTATACGATACATAAGTATAAGGTTGAACATAATATGGACCACACGAGAGTGGCGTGCTAGGGAGAGAAAAAAGTACCGGCTAGAAGTGTGCGTGTTGGCATGTGTGGAGGGTTGGACGAGGGTGGGGCCGCTATATAATATTATATAGAAACTTTTCAGCGAGCGTCTCCTGCTCTAATGGATTCGCGTCGAAACGAGAACGCCTCTCGTCCCGCGGGCTGTGTAATATATATATATATATATAGTGGCCACGGCGCAGGTCGTTACACAGACTGCGATACCGTACATATTGTATAATATACGCATCGTAATTCGTATCACAATATCATATCGTTCTATAACATATATATATATACGCGGTAAAGGGATCATTCGGGTACGGGGGGGGGGGCAACCGAATAATATAATATTATGTTATATATATTATATTATTAACGTAATATTATATACGTACGTTTCGCAACACAGTCTCTATACACTGTGCTGTATGAATATAATATAATATATTAATGTACCAGTCACGCGCGCGTTCTATCCCATCGCCGCACGTCCACTCTACACTAGAAGCGTCGTGTGCAATTGTGTGTCCGAGTCGAATTTCCTCATGAATTTTTCATATTTATTATTACATAGGTGTCCGCACCGCGCACCTATACATATATAGGAGGTAACCAATCGGGCACAAGCCGTTGTGCAGCCGACGGCGTGCGTAACGGCGACGGGGGAAATATAACCGCCCCGAACACGTTTTTCAATTACGAAATCCGACGCCCCTCGGGCACGTGGAAAATTAAACCGTATATAGCGACGTCAAATTGTAAAAATCGACTCGGACGTAATTCGCTGGCGCCCGGCGCGGTTGACCGGGTACGCGCGTGGTATCGACCGCCCGCAATTTATTGATCAATAATAATATTATACTATATTGCAGTGACTATATATAGGTACTGACGGTTCGAACAATGTCTTGTGACGAAAACTTATTATATTATCAGCTTTGACAAGGCTACAATTGGCGCAAACGATAACGTTGCAACTGGCGTTCGGATTTCAGCCAGAAACTAACTAGCGTCACCAACGCAAACGAATCGATATTATTACGTGGTATGATGTATAATATAAAATAATGAGATATATATGTGAGGAGCAGAACTCCGCGAGAACGATCGAAAGACTTTGAATACAGATGTTTTTCAAAATTTTTTTTTTTTACTTTGTTCATATATTATATACATGCAGCAGCTGCGTTTACACCGATTACAGGTACCTACAACACTACATCGGTTAATACAACACTTATAACAACTCAGTTAAACGATTTACACGTGTACAACGTGTACGATGTGCACCACGCTGCTGATGGCGTCGACGACCTGAGGATTTACACGGGTTCACGTCGTCGTCGTCGTGTGTACTAATTTTTTTTCTGTAACCAGACTGAGCGACCATTATTGATTAGATGCGTTCTACAAAAGTTCGACCACATACCGTCGACGGACCACATACCATCATTGGACCAGGTCGAGTATCCATCACCACCACGGTTCGTCTCCACTCGTGGTATATTGTGATCCGTGCAGCAGCCGGTTTGCGAATCACCCGCGGCGGCTAATAGCACCGTATATAATAATAATATATAGCCATCGCATCGCGCATAACACAATACGTTATAATAATAATATTACATCCCTATACACATTTTACCTGTACCGCGGTAATACATATTGCGGCATCTTCGGGGAGCATCGCGGTTGAAAATTAAATTACGCGCGAGAGTATATTATATCGATCCGTTCGCCGCACTTGACGTTTTGTTATTTAACTTATACCCCCGTATATAATATGTTACGTGTCTACATTAGAATACGGTCGACTTGGTCGAGTGTAATATATTATGTTACGGAGAGGGATGTGAAAACACGTAGGTGGAACAGCTCAAACATAGATCCCTGAAATCTTCAATTTTTCTTTCTTTTTATTTTATGTATATTATAATAATAATATTACGTATGTACCTACAACCGTACTATATTATTATTATTATTATTATTATTATTATTATTATTATCATCATACGGTATGTGCGGTGCCGCCGACCCAAAGTTGCCGGAGTGTGGCCGGGGGCGAACGAAATAACATCATAAATTTTCACCGACGGCGGCGTTATCACTAATAGCTTTCACAGTTATAAATATAATCTCGCGATCGGTCTGTAGTGCAATGCTGGTACATTCTCACTAGATATAATATATAACGTATATAATATACACGCCACGATGTAAAACCATAGCCAATCGATACAGCGAAACCCGTATATGATACGCAAAAATAGGAAATACATAATACCACCTATTGAATATTGTCCGTGTTAATGATGAACTTAAAGCTTACTACCACAACATTATTATACACAATAATGTATAACATTTGCAAACTGAACAATATAATTTATGAATTATTGAATTAAACTAATATTATCACTATCACAACTGCTTTAGTCAGATACTGTTCATCAATACTGCAGATATATTATGTTTTATTAATTCATATTAATAAATTGTATACTCTATGACATAATTAATACGTTGTACTAACGTAAAATAACTTTTACAATATTATGATGTTTTGCCAACAAACACTAATTTTATATTTAGCTATCGGTTAATTAAAATTTATCACACATATAATGAAACGTATTTTCGAATATAAAACACACTTTAATAATAAATTAGGTCAGTGGCGTCCTCAGGATTTTTCAATGGGGGGGAGGGGCTTGAAAATTAGTTACAATTTTATTTTTATTTTGTCCAGTCTAATAATTTCAGACGTTTACTTGAGGTATTTTAAAATGTTTGTAACTTTTCTGGTAGAAAAAATGCTCTGATCATAAGCTTCGATGCCAAGTGTATGTTTTTGGAAGCAAATTGGATCTGATTGGTACTTTTAGGAGGTCAAAGTTGAAAATGCTCAGTGCTTTCAAAAATAATTGACGAAGAGAAAATGAAAATTTATTTAAATTGTTTGGTAAGAAGCTTGGTTATACCCTTCTCACTTGGATTGAATTTGATTAATTTTTTTTTTTTCTAAAAATATCAATAAAAAAATTTTTATCCGGTCAAAAAGCTCAAAAATGCAATACGTAAGTTTTTTTTATTAAAGTTTAATTAAAGTTTTCTTATAGCTACAATATTAACGATGCATAGGCATCATGTTTTTTTAGATTCTGAGTAAATACAAGGCTCCCACTAAATTGTTACAATGACATTTGAAAAATATTAAAAATCCTTTGTCACAGTTTTTTGTTATAAGCATTTAAAGTTCAAATATTGACAAAATACGTAAAAAATACGAAAATTTACAAATTATTTCGAGTTGAGAATTCATAAAAATTTTTCTTTTTAAATCTAAGATATGAAAATGTAATACAAGATTCCTCATAAGTTTGTCTACCTTTATCAAAAAAATAAAAAATTTCTACAAGAAACTGAAATTAAATTTTTATGAGCGTTTGAAATTCATATTTTTACAACATTTGATATTCACTCGATTTCGCATGTAACGATTTTCTTATTTTGTTGTAATTAAAAAACGAATGACTGTAGATACTTGAAAATTTCACTGAATGTTTATATTAGCATTTCCTATACAACATACAATTTTGACTCTTTTTGAGCTGTTTACGGATATTTTCAGTTTTAAATTTTTTTAGTTTTTTTTTTATAAATATCAATAAAGTTTTATTTTTGGTCCAAAAAGTGTAAAAATTTAATACAAGGCTCCTGATATATTGTTGCAATAGCAGTTAAAAAGTATAAAAATACATTGGCACAGTTGAAAGTTCAAATTTTGACAAAATTTATCACATTTAAAATTTAATAATAATTTTGTAGTTAAAAATGTATTAAATGTTCAACTTTTATAGCAAAAGATTAA